CATTCCGTCCTAAAATCATTGTCTAATTTGTATTTTCAATTTTGGTGTAATTTGAACCAAAAATTAAAATCCAAAGTCAATAATAATTTTGACAGCCAGAAAATACAATGATTTACTGTTATTGTAAATGTTCTCATTGTATTGAATACTTTTTCATGTCCCAAACCCAAAGTCAATTGTTAAGAAACTTTAAACTAACTGCTAGTTATATCTTAGCCTTATATCTTTTGTGAATTACTCCCTTCATTCTAAAATAAGTGTCGTTTTAGCAAAATAAAGAAATTTCAAACTAAGTTTCGTTGTCACATTTCAATGCACTTTTTGTCCAAAGTTTCCAAAATTACCCGTAAAAAATTTAATACTATTGGTGGATATTTTTTTTTAATGGGATTGGTTGAGAATATTGAAATAATTTTATAACCCTATTTAAAAGTTTCTTAAACTATGTGCAAAGTATAGGATGACAGTTATTTTGGAATGGAGGGAGTGCGTTTTTAGTAAATCATGTTTCTTTTTTATGAAATAAAATGTATTTTCATAAAGTTAATATGGATGAGAAGTCTCCATCTGATCAATAATTTCCGAAATTGAAACTTTAAGATGTCCTTACTCCTAAGCATCCTAAACCCTTAGAATTGAATCTCTTCTTTTGTTGCTTGACAGAGATGGTAGCAATGCCTTGTAAATTTCACATTGAAACAAAAACAATGGAAGTCGCGAGTATTAATCGTACAAATATCTTCTTATTCAATTACAGTTGTTCTAAAGTTCTTAGTGGGATTGATGATTTTAGATATCGTGTATGTAAAAAAAAAAAGAAGCAAAATTTCAAGAACATCATATAATTTGGACTGAATCATGATTAATAATAATCAATAGAACCCTATCTGCGCGCATTACTTCTTTTATTCCGCTAACAACTAGCTTTCTTTCAGTCCAGCTGTTAAATGGCTTCTTTGAGTTGCGATTTCACATGTTCATGGTTTCTTCTGTGTCCGTCTACTAATATTAAATCCAAATGGTTTTCTGCTAACGGTAGGCAATTACTCGTAGGGATATTAGATTAATCCCAAAACTTTTCTCAGCGGTTATCAAACGATTAATTTTCCCCGTTAATTATTTTCAAATTATTGGGGCCTAATTATTAAATCCATCATTTCTAGTAACTGACATACGTTTATAATTACACTACCTCCATATAAGACCTAAAAAAATTTTTTATTCTTTTTTGTAAGAATTTTTACATTATTTACCTTCTCAACTAACCATTTCAAAATTCACCCCAATCAATATCATTATGTATACGCGAAGTTCTCTTTTCTTTTCTTTTTCTAGCATTTTCTCTTTGAGCATTTTCAAGAATTATTCATGTCCTGGCACAATAGTCTAATATGCATCTGAATTTTGATTAAATATTAGTCAAAATGCTTTTGCCTTAGCAATTACGGCAGAATGTTAGTGTCAATAAGAAATTGAATTAACTCGTCGCTGTTGGATTGAATCAATACTTTTCTTGTATCAAGCAATTTAAGTAAACTCTAGCGTTTACCTTTCCTTTTCACCAAAAGACTATTGACTCGGTTATAGAACATGTAGACCATTATCTTCATGTAGGGCAGGATGGTACAAAATTTTACGCAAACATTTTAGACATGTTGGAATTTATCTCTAACTAGGTGGTAACAAATTGGCAGATGAGCTGAGCCTTCCCTTTGTGCCAAAAGGTTTGTTATGTTCTGGTTTCAGGCTTCAAAAAACGTGTACCTTGAACTGTTACGAATCTTTATAGTCCTTATCATAAAATATTTTGATTTATTTTAAATTTTATTGAATATATTTTTCTATTTTAAAATAAAACTTTAAAAATAAAAAATATATTAAATGAAATTTAAAATAAATCAAAATATCTTTTAGAGGGAGAATTAGCTCATGATATATCTTGAGCAGTGACTGAATTTTTCAAATGAAATGAAATGTAAACCGCGAACTAGTAGTCATTTAGAACACATGTTTTATTGCAAAGTAATTTTATGGTGCAGAACTATTCAATTAATAATCTAAATGATGATACTACTTCTATATATATAAAAAAAATTAGTTCACATTGAGTTTTTAAGCGTTATAATATTTTTCGTACGAATTTCAAAATTCAATATGAACTATTTTTTTAGAACGAAAAGAATACATAATAATTGTTACATGGACAAAACAGTTGCAGAATTCTTTTAATTATTATTTCTTCCATCTCAAAATATTTGTTGAGTTTGGAATATATATATATATATATATATATATATATATAAATGAAAGGAGATGAGGTGATGACGTGTGTGTCAATTGCCTTTTAATTGATTTCATTACACATGTCATTTAATGATTGGTTATTCATTAAACAGTTATAATGTATTAGTAAAACCGTAACTTTATAAATTTACAATGAATTATATTTTAAATTAGGTAATTTTTTTTTTAAGTGAATTGCACTCCCGGAATTGAGCATCTTCACCAATTTGATTGATCAGCTTAATTAGCTAATAGATATCCCACTTGATTATTTCGGACAAATTGCAACTCAAAATTTGAAGGGCGATAACCTCCCTTTAGATCGGTAAAGACTGGATGTGGATGGCTTATCTTAGAAAAGGTTGTGCGCTAAGATAGTTTCAATGGTGGTGACGAGAGACTTGAACATCGGCGACCGAACGCAAGACAACCACCAACGAAATAAATCTGATGAGAAGATCCTCAAGCACTGTGGGGTGTTGAACAGACTGGAATGCAGGAACAAAAACAACCAGGGGCGGAACTACAGGGGGTTCAGGACGGTCGACCGACCCCCCAGATCAATGGAAAATCTCTGAGAAACGGTGTCCTCATGTCCCGCCGTGACTGTAATTTTTCAAGCTGACCCCCAGGCAAAAGTGGAAGAAGAAGTCGGAGAAGAAATTCCGCTATCTATTTTGGAACGAGATAGGATTGTTCTTCGGGGACATCTGATAAAATTAGAACGAATGGGATATGATTCTTTATTAAAAGTAAAATTGCTAAAATTTGGGCTGCCCTTTACTTTCTAACATAATTTTTCTTTAAGCATAAGTACAGGGGAAATGTACTGTTTTTATTCCCAATTTTCATTTTCCCATTTTTTTTCATTAGTTAACGCATGAATTTGTGAAGTTGGGTGGTTGTGTTGCATGAATGTACTTACAACCTGAGAATAGTTTTCTCTTTTCATTCTTATTGTTACAATAACCAAGCATTGTACTAATTGCAAATTTATTTGAAATGAATTTCTCAATGTATAATTTTTGTGTATATAAATAATATAAGTGAAATCTTAGTATTATAATATTGACCCTCCAGAGTTGCACTCTTGGTTCCGTCACTGAAAACAACAAATGCCTGATTGAAGGCAAGAAATGAGTATTCTAGCAATGGTTTTGGAAAGTAATTGCGTAGATTGCACCCAAGAGAATACCGGATGAATATTCCATTATCAATTTTTAGGTATGTCTTTCTTATTTTTGAAAACCTCATAGTATTTGATAGTAATTGAATTAGTTTTGTCGTGAGATTTCTCATTTTAATTTTTTATTGTGTTCGGTAAACTATAGGTTATTTTGAAAAAAAAAAAAAAAACATTTGAGAGCAATGAACCAAATTCATCAGCAGGATCTCTTTTCCGTCTCCCGTACCCTAAGAGTTCATTCCGGTAAGTCCTCTATTTCTTTTTGCAGCTTCGTTTTTCTTTGAGAATTTCTTATCACTCGCGTTAACTTTACCTTAAATTTTGATTTTCCACTTCATTTTTATCTGAATTTTTGGAATCTCGGCTTAAGAAGAAATCTTTCAATCTCAAATCCTTTAAGCTTTAAAACAGAGGTTAGATTGTTCTCGGTAAATCCTAGGATGCTTGAATCACTTTAGCTGACGGGAAAGTAGCATTATTTTTGTGAAATGATAATCAAGTTTTCTTGAATCCTTCAAACTCTTGGGGTTTTGATGGCTTTTTGTCCCTGCAAAGATTTGGTTGATAGTGTTTTTATTTTCTGAAGCTTTAAGGCGATTGTTCAACATTTTTTTGCCAGCATATGTGGTAATTGTAGAAACTCTTAGAAGAATAATTATATATTTTCTACTTAAATTTATTGGATTTTATGTAATATAATTTTGACTAAGCTGTGTACTGTTTTTTTTCATCTGAACTGTGTTTTGAACCAATAACAACAGTCCAAATCTAAACTGAAATATTTTAGATTAAGATATATTTCAGTTTAAGATCAAACCAAAATCATGAATTATTTTTAATCATAATTATAATACTGATGTTCAACCAATTAAACAAATGAAATCGTGTATTAATACTAATTTTTTTAATATGTTTATCAATGTATATGCTTAGAAAGATAGTTTTGACTAAGAGATTAATTTTTGCTCTATGTACTGTATAGTGCTTGCTTTCTCTATTTCTATTTTTCTTTTCCAGTTCAACGGCTTGTTGAAAATGATGATACATAGATGAAAATGAAGATAAAATGACATCCGACGGGTTATTCTTACTTTTTGATTCGATGGTTTTTAAAATATACTAAAATAATATAAAACTCGAATTAACAGTATCTTTAATGAATAATCATACATACAAACATCTAAAAAAAATTTCTTACAAAGTTAACATTGATGTTACATTTCGAAGATTAAGATCGAATCTCATGGTGCAGTGCACGGGCAATACACTAGTGATAATAGTAACATGATCCTAGCATAGTGCATGAATATTGAATAATGATACATACGTAATTTATTGACAAGAAGAAAAAATGATAAAAGATAATGGAAATTATATCATGTCCATTTATTTTTATACAAATAATGATACACGAAGAAAAAGTTTTATCATAAGAAAAAAATGAGCATCAATTATCACATTCATTCATTTGTAGTACTTTGATTGACAGATAATCCATTGTAAGTTTTTTTTGTAATTTCTTCTTACATGTATTATTATTCTTTTTATATTTTTTATTTGAATTTGATTTTTGAAGTTTAAAAAATACTAGTTTAGATTGTAAACACATTATATTTTGTGATTTTATTCCCTTTTTTTTTTTATATGTATTTACTACTCACTAGTAGTGCCTTTTTTTAAAAGTTTTTTTCCCATCGAAATCTACACAAAAATAGGAACTTTACATTGGAATTTCCACCAGATGGTTTGGGCCCACACTCTTTAGTCCATAAAATTATGGGGGAACAAAAGTTATCATTTCCGCTATCCTCAAAGTCAAAAAGTCAAACAATACTACCGGGCACAGATGGACGGCGGAGGAGCACCAGTGGCGCATCCGGCAGTACGACCCATATCGTTCTTGCTCGGAAATTGGAAAGGCGAAGGCGAGGGAGGTTTTCCCACCATATCCGCTTTCCGATACGGCGAGGAACTCTGTTTTTCTCACCATCCCAGCAAGCCCGTCATGGCTTATTCCCAGAAGACATGGAAGCTAGATTCCGGCGAACCGATGCACGGCGAGAGCGGTTACTGGAGGCCCAAACCCGACGGTTCGATCGAAGTCGTTATAGCTCAGAGCACGGGTCTGGTGGAAGTTCAAAAGGGGACATTCGATTCGGAAGAGAAGATCGTGAGGCTTAAAAGCACGGTGGTCGGAAACGCATCTAAGGTGAAGGAGATAAATCGGGAATTTAAGGTTGATGATGACGGTGGAGAATTATCGTACGTGGTTGAAATGGCTACTAATAACGTCACGCCTTCACAACCGCATCTCAAGGCTTCCCTCAAGAAGATCTGATTCAATCATCTGAAATCCTGAATCTTTAATGGAGTAGTAGTTAATAATTTCTGACTACGAAAAGATTTTCATTTTATGGAATAAATTTTGTATTTGTGCCCTTCCGTGGTGTTACATCTTAGCCAATGATCTATCATTATATGTACCATTTGCACTTTGTAATATGCCCCAAAGTTTTCTGTTTCCATTTCATTTTGACGATAAATCCATTCATATTAGTATGTGGAAAACACTTGGATTTATTGATTTAAAGCTAACTAAGCGATTTAAACTCTTGAAACGCGGTTAAAATAAATATTCTTTTTGTCTTAAAATAATTGTATTAAAATTATAATAATTTAATAAAAGTGGTGCTTTTTATCGTCCAAAACGGTTTTGCCCTCCAAGAAAAATGAACAATCAAGAATTAAGCAAAAAAAAAAAAAAAAAAAAATTCCTTGACCCGGCCCCCAATCGGCCCGAACACAAAGAATGGAAATCAATGAAAGAAAACAGATCGATCCCAGATCGACCGGCATTACTTTGAAGTTCAATGGAGAAAACGCGTATTTTATCCCAACTTTTCACTTGAGACTCGAAAGACTCTTCCGTTTGTTTTCAGAAATTTCTTTGGTTTTTTGTTGTTTCTAGTATGACGAAGTGAGTGTACTCATACCTCAAACTTTGATTACGATTTATTAGATTTCAGGTAGAAAACCAGAAATCTGGATGAGCTGATAGTACTAAAGGACCAGAAAGTTTCTATACAATTCAAGATAGTTTTCTTCTGGACGAAAAGGACACAAATAGCAACAATTTTTATTTCCCCTTTAAATTTGTTTTTGACGGAAAGTGTAGAATGAAACACATCGATTATTTTACAATATATTCACATTTTCACACCAGAAAAAAAAAAGAAAAAAAGAAAAAAGAGGAATTGAAGTTTGGGGAAAAAGAGGTTTGATTTTGTGACTTTGGGCCAGTTTGATAAAAATTAATGCTTAATTCTAAATAATTAATACTGAATCAGAAATGTTGAATTCATTACGTGGATAAGCAATAAGTAATAAGTTAACTTTTATTGCTTATATTTTGTACTACAGTTTTAACACCACTTATAATTCAATAAAAGGTTCAGTTTTTATTATCAAAGATGGTGAATCCAAAAAATGCTTAATGGAATAATTTAAAGCAATAATTGATGTTATCAAACAAGCCCTTAGTTATTAGACCTGATTTACATCACATAATTGTCGGTCACGATCACACTTTGACCCAGTCAATAAGTTTGGTCCAACTATGTGAGATGTGTTATATAAATTCCGATATAGAGTAATCTTTACTAAGAGGTCCTTCGCTAATCGAATTAGGATGAATCGAGTTTAATTGAAAGCATAATGCACCAAAAAAAAATTGTTGAATGAAGAGAAATCATGTTTATCGAATCCGCTTGACATTGTTCTTACAAATGATGAAGGGTGTAGTAAATGACTAAATTGTAAGTGACTCAATTCCCTTTACAACACATTCAGGATTTGTCAAGTTTGGGTGTGACCGTGTGACCACTTAGCAGCCTGATTAATGGCATTAGAGAACCTTTGAATTGAGAGGATTGTTCACTTGAGTCAGATTTCTAGAGAAATTAGCCGATTTAGTACTCCTCATTTATTATGTTTTTCTAAGTGAAAATAAAACCATAAAAATGTATTTTTACATATATTATATTCTCCTAATCATTACAAAATATTTTTAAGATTTGAATTTTCAGTTAAATGACATACTAATTAAAATTTAGAACAACTCAAAATGTGTTATAATAAGATTTATTCGAAAAAAAGAATTATACAAAAAAAAAGAAAGAAAGAAAGCAGAGCTATAGATCAATTGATCTACAATGAGCCCTTCTTCTAAACTCGCAGCCCAGCAATTTTCTATTATGCCCAACCAAATCGACCGAGGCCTCCACATCAAAGCTCACAGCTTTCCCCACAACTATCCATCATCCATTCTTCTTGTATTCTGTCAATTCCTCATCTTCATCACAATTCACACGTGTCTCTTTGTACCAAAAACAACAAATCTTCCCCGGAAGGGCCATGGGAAATTCCAATTGTTCGAGACTTGCTTTTTAGAAGATTTGAAATTTACTGCCAACAAGCTTAAATCAGTTGGCAGGGTGCTGATCCAGTTTAAGCAGAGGATTCGGGTTCGAGACCTTGCGTACGCAGCCGTGTTAAAAGTAATAGAATTTAATTGCTCCAACGAAATTTGAACTCCGATCCTAATAACAACAGTTCATTTTTATCATTCCATTCTCTCTTATTAGTTCTCTTCCAGTACTTCAATTTGTAAGATCTCTATTTCGTTAACGCAGTTGTATAGAGCAGTAGTTGTTTGTTTGTGGCCATCTATACTTGTTGACTCTTCATCAATATTTGTAACTGTTTTGAACTTTCAAATTTTGAGATGAATACAAGCCAAATCATGGTTATATTTTATCTCCTGCAAACTCAATTTCTTAATTCCAACACAAGCATTTCCGGGATCTGGATGCATTTTGTTCCTGGACATTGCTTGAAAAGTTAATGCTGAGTTTTAGCAAACTTTTCTTCATCATTCATCCTAGAACACTCTTGTCCAAGTTATTTTGCCTTTTCTAGTAGTAGTTGCATGTAACTTCTTCTCTTTTCCTACGAAAATTAGCCAATCCACCTAGAAATCATCGTTATTTTTTATTCTTGTATTATTCAATCGACGACGCTTTAGGGTTTTATTTTTATTTTTTTGGGATATATACCATAGGAGAGGTAGGGTTTGCAGAAATTAAGAAAGTGGTAACAAAAACAACCATCCTTTTAAAGTTTTAATATATGTATAGTAAATTGAATTACTCCAATGGAATTTTGAATCCAAACTTTGTCGTCTCCAACCCGATGCAAATCGAAAAGTAAGCAAACATTGAAAAAAAAAATCACCCACAAATTAAAGAAAACTCTCTCTCTCTCTCTCTCTCTCTCTCTCTCTCTCTCTCTCACACACACACGGAAAAATTGGCCGATCTACCTTAACTTTTACATGCATTGTCAATTCTACCCTATTCTTTTTCGATTAGCCAATATTACCCTAACCTATTCAACCATTAGCAGATTTTGTCCAATTTGCCAATTTCCGTTTAAATTAACGGATTTTCTGTTAGTTTTAATTATAAAAATATCCTAATAGTTTTAAAAATTATAAAAATGACCTTAAAAATTTGTAAAAATAATAAAAAATAGTCTCTTTTCACTTTTTATTTAATTTTTTTTTTCTATTTTCTATTTCTTTTTACTATTTTTCATAACTATAAAAATATACTATATGATCTTTTAGAATAAAAATTTATTTTTAAACAATACTACACAAATTTATAGATATACATATTTGTAATTCATGGTTGATTTACATAAACATATTTATTTTTTTAATACTATGGCTAGAAAATAATGATACTAGTTTTCTAATCCATTTTTTTCAATTTAAATAATAAGAATTGTTTTTACTAAAACTAATTTTTTTACAAAAAATTAAAAAATTTAGCATATATTAAAAAATAATCGGCCAAATTTTCTGTTTCATGAGAGTAGATATAAGATTAAGTCTCATCAAAGGATTTCTAATCGGGAGAGTAATTTTATCCATATTTAAGTGGGGTCCACTAAAGGCGAGAAGGTTAGATGGTCAGGTGATTTAGGATGTGATATAAAATTACTGTGTTCCATGTCTCGATTCTCACTAGGACAATTTATTTTTTTTTAAAAAAAGGTGGAGTCCAGTACTGGAATAGATTTTCTTTATATTATTTTTTCTTTAAAAAAAGACTTTCTACTAAAATTAGATATATTAATATCTCAAAAAATTATCGCAAAATGTTAAACCCTCGCAATGATAAATATAAATTTTTTTATAAAATATTTTGTACATTTTTGTAAATGCCATGACACTATATTCTTGTGTTGGGCCAATGTAGAAATGAAATAGGTGTGTTTTTTTTTTTTTACTTTCTTTTCGTACTTGGCCTTTTAACAGAAAAATTTATATTTTAGTTCTAATTATTTTTTAAATTTTATGATACAAGCTAAAGTCTGTTGAATTAAATTGTAATACATTAAAGTATACCAATAAGTTCTTTTTTAATCTATGCTAAATGTGTTATTTTTTTGTGCAAAATTAGTTTTAGTTAAATAATCTTATTATTTAGATTGAAAAAAATGGATTAAAAAAATAATATCATCACTGTTAAACCATATTATTAAAAAAATAATATGTTGATGTAAGTGAAACATGACTTACGAATATCAAATTATAAATTTGTACATTAGAGTTTAAAAATAAATATTTTTTTAAAAGATCATATAGTATATTTTTAGAGTTATGAAAATATTAAAAAGAAATAAAAAACAAAAAAAAAATTAAACAAAAACTGAAAAGAGACTGTTTTGTTATTTTTGTAAATTTTTGGGGTCATTTTTATAATTTTTAAAATTACTAGGGTATTGTAATTAAAACAAATATAATTCCGTTAATTTAAACGGAAAAGATTAAATTGGACAAAATCGGCTAACGGTTAGATAGCTTAGGGTAATATTAACTAATCGAAAAAGAATAGGATAAAATTGACAACGCATGTAAAGCTTAGGATAGATTAGCCAATTTTTCCCAGACACACACTCTAGAAGTCTAGAACCTAGCTGAGAAGAGCACACGCATTATATTTATGAATTTCAAACTTCATATATAGTATTTAGAAAGGCAAGACACATTGGGAACAAATTTCACACACAACAAGGTGACAAACACATTAGAGAGGCACCCGACCGTACGTAAGGAGATGTGCACTTCGGGTTTTTTTTTTTTTTTTTTTTACATGAGAACTGGATCAAAGAGCACAGATTTGATCATGTGTTTAGTCTCGGTGGAAGGATTAGTGTATCCATCGTTGCCTCGGAACAGAAGATACATTATACTTGAATAATTGATGACCCTCTCAAGGATGAATCTAGACACAGCTGAATTCTGGTTGACGGATTCTGCGTTTATATCCTTCCAAGCGTTTGCAAGTCGTTTCTCAAACTCAGCAAATGTTTCTTCTTTAGATGCGCTGTACTGTTTCATGTAACATTCAACCGCAGATGCTAATTCTCCCCTCTCTTTTCCCCACTGCATTTACAAGTATAACCACGACGGTAATATAGTAAGGTCAAGTATTAGAGTAGCACGGAAAGAGTATATTTTAAATCGCTACCTCGTAATCAGCCATATCGTCCATTAACCGACAAATCACTGAGGAGGCTCTTACGATGGACGGTACTTTTACAATCCACTTAAGGGCATCTTCAGCCACAAACTCTCCCATGCACACTAAAGAAGCAGTTGAGAGATGTTCATATGTAGCACTAACTAGAGCAACCTTCATGTACTCCTCAAAATTCGGAACTTCTTTTCTGTAAATCCATTTTGCCTCTTCTAAATATGATCTTGCTAAATTTTTCTTCTGAGTACACAAAAACGAAAGTCTTTCAATTAGTTTACTGCAACTAACCATAAAGCACCAAACCTCGTCGTTATAGTTTCATCGTTATAGTTGTAAAGATTTGTTCCTCTATCTTATATTTAGCCTATTCAGAAAAGTTATATGTAACAAGTACGTACACTAGATATTGCATAATTGATTAGGTCTGATTTGCCTTCCTTGGCCAATCTTTCCTCTATCTCATTATAAACATTTAAGAGAGCCCGATAGCATTGCCCCATATATGATGGTAATTGATCCAATGCACTAATATGCCACCTGCGACATGCATTAATTAACCTTATATTAAGTATAAGAGTAATTGAAAATCAATGTGTACTAGTATCTTTTTAAAAGTTGTGACGGGGTACCTTTCTATTGAATCCATGAAAAGGAGGAGTTCGTCAAGGAATCCATATGAATCGTATATGTCATCAACGATCGAAACCATCGCAATCACTTTGGCCAATGATTGTCTAGCTTCACTGTATTTGGGTTCGAAATACACTCCCAAAGTCCAAAAGGAGCACTCTACCAATCTATCCCTAGCAAATGGAAAATTCTCTGCAGCATTTAAGCTATTCCACCACCTGCATGAAAATTTTCGAAGAGCTTTGTTTCCCCAATATACATATAATATGTTGGAATTGGTCTCTACTTAGCTAACAAATTAACAACCAGAGGTAGATTTTCTTACTTTGCTTCGTTCAGAAGCTCCTTTTGGTGTAATCTCTGTAGGATATTGAAGTCCAACTTGGCAAATTTCAACAAAACTGCATTGTGTGATGTGTCTTCTTCATAGAGAGAGATAAATCGTCTTGCACCTATCCGATTCAAAGTTTTTTGAATTGGTACCTCTAAAGCTTGCTTGACTCGCGGAGTCCAAAAGTGGTCAAGGTTTGGCAACATGGATACGAGTTGGGAAGTAGTAAAATTCAGTGCTTCCCCCAAAATATCCTCTTCATGAACCCTATAATGAGCTGCCTCAAATAAACCCAACAAGCCTCGAACGTCGGTAACCAAAGATTCCTTGAAATTCCCTTCTTGATCCTTGAATTTGTTAAACACATCTACAACATGCATACATTAATGATAAAATTCTATGTGAGCGTATTAAAATTACTTCAAATAAACATTACGCAGAATCAGTACATATATAAATCTTAAAGCCATTTAGAGGTCATGTGTAATTGCCAAAAAGAAAAAAAAAAATTACAAATACTCATTAATTCCTACCACAAGATACGTAGTGGCCTAGTTGTCTAAGTAATCGAAAACGAAGAGCAACTTTATGAAGGTCATGGTCATCATATTCATCTCCATGCTCCAACTTGGATGTCAACATTAATGCCTGGATTTCACACTCAAAATGGTAAAACAATCCAAGACGTTCGATAATGTCAATCAAGTCCAACGTCTGCGGTCCAGATCCAACACCAGGTTCAGTCAGCATCATCCTCACAACTTCTTTCAGCCGTTCATGTTCCCGCTCTTGTTCGCAAAACTCCTCCTGCCCCCAGCAAATTAAATACTACTATCATATCATATACAAATGCCAGAAAAGAGAATATACTTACTTCTTTCTTCTTAAAAACAATAATTTAATTTGTCGCATGTATAATATATTATTTTAGTTGGACTACTTTTCTAAGACGGAAAAGATAAGAACTGATGGGTGAGGATCCATATAATTTCGTTTTGTTTGGGTTAGGAGATTAACCTTCTTGAAATCATAAGTGGAGACTTGACGTTCCAGCCTGAGCAAATATTCTTTCCATAGACTTGGTGTAAAGTTGGCCGAGCGACGCGTGCGCTGATCAGAGCTTTTCATTGAAACAGCGTCCATCTTTTTTTTTTTTTTTTGCCTAAATACACACACACAAAAAAAAGGAATTATTAAACAGTGGGAACACCTGCACTACAAGAAAACTGGGATTTCAAACTGCCAATTTTATTTACATTTAGCTTGGCTTCTATCAAGCATTTATAGCTGTGAACCGCGGGAATGGCTATTAGTCAAATAAGGGCCTAATCAATTAAACTCTAATCTTAGATTCTTTTGACTGAATCATCGTCGGTTCGCCTACACAAATTTTATACTCTATTATATAAGATGTTTAAACACATTCACGGCACAACTACGTGAAGCCCTAAAAGAAGTCCATTTTCAATTCTTTCGCAACTTTTTTTCCCCTAATTTGAACTTGCCCATCTTTAAGAAATATTCCCTCCGGTCCTTAATATAAAACATTTTGATTTGTCCAAGGTTTCACCTAGTATACATTTTTAATTGAGAAAAAAAATCTTAAAAACATATTTTTATATTCGTAATATTCTCTTGAATGTTATGAAATGTTTTTAAAGTTTTTTTGTCGATTAAAAATACGTACTAAGTGAAACCTAAGACAAAATTAAAATGCCTTATATTAAGGACCAGAGGAAGTATTCGACAATACAATTCACAAATTACAGTAAGTTATTTTTCTGCCATGAAAAGGTGTAATTAATTAGGAGATGCCTTGTAGTTCTCTATCCAAAATATCGTTTTTTTTTAAAAAAAAAAAAGGGCAGCATAGGTAGCTTATTTGTGTATTTTACATTCCAATACATAGGAGAATATCTGGAAAGAAAAAAAAAACATTGGAGAAGGATACATATTGTCAAGAGTAGACCTTCCTTTTCTTACATGAACAAAGAAACAAGAATGGTTAAGTGATCCTAACCAGGTATATCCCACTCCAACTATGATCCACGCTCGAGCATAGATATCTTTTGGAAAAGTGAAACTCTTTCTCAAATCTCTATAATTACTCCGTAATATTACACTCTTTTTCGAACATCTATATGTTATAATCAACTTCAGTATTATTGAGAATAGACATCAAAATTATTGAGACAAAGACTTTGCATGGTTGTATTGTTATCTTTTCCCCTGTTTGCTTCCAAGTTCAAACTATCTATTATGCTATAAATAGGTGTGTACACAGTACACAATAACTTCTAAAGTCACGGATCGATATAGACGTTCATTTTATTTTTTATTTAAAAAGTGACTAACAAAAAAATTATAAAGATAATAAATTATACTCGTTCATGTCCTTATTATAAGACATTTTTTAATATTTCTTTTCGCCCTAGCTATTTATAAGTCATTTGATATCTTTAACATTTCATTTATGTTATATTTCCAACTTCACTTTAATATGATTGATTCCTAAAAGATTGAGGACATTTTTAATACGTGTAATATAGATAGTTCACAAAAAAAAGAAGAAACTAATTTATCTGTTTTTCTTAATTTTTCTGAATTAATTATTTCTTTTTTTTTTTTTGGCACATTGGATTCGGGCTAATTAACTAGACTGGAACCCTAACTAGCTGGCCGGTCAAAACTGTGAGGTTGTGGGTTCAGGTGGTAATTAAAACGTGGGTCTTGAACTCTAAAACTATCTAGATCTTTAAACGGTCTATGCCCTACGTACTAGCTCTTATGGATCTTCATATTTTGTCAAACCCGTCATTCGGCGTAATGAAATGTTTATCTAGAGACATGAAAGGATTCATCAAGCATTTTGCTTCATCATTGCATGCGTTAATTAAAATGGATGCCTGAATTTGGTCCCTCAAGAAACAATAGAAGGCTTGCTTAATTGTCTGATCATTCAACCTGTAAAGCTTGACTTTGCAAGCTCGCATTTAAAGAGCAAAATATAGCTATAGTTTTGCACTTGGTTAAAGAAATTTTTAAAACCTATTTCCTAAAATTAAGGAGAGTGGTGCGTGTGTTTCACTTCTTTAAGAAAATCAGATTCTGGGCTAAAAAAAGAGAAGACGCGTGATATCACATTAAGTGCATGTAGCTACAAGCATTTAATGCTTATAGTATAATAACTCCTGCGAAATACTTCTATTACCTTGAGTGATTTGTGAATGACGAGTCCATATCCATCACCGATATTGGATCGGCCCATCGGTCAAATAAGGAGTCCAACCGACTCTAGTAGGGCTGCAGAATCACGTGAAACCTAATGGTACTCGGCTTCCCTCAAGGTAATTTGAATCCTATAAATGGGGTTGATCATACCACAATACGGGTACTCTATCACTAGCACAATACACTAAGTTTCATTCGTTCCTTGAACCCTATTTCTGACTTAAGCATCGGAGTGTCTATCATCAGGAGACCCCCGAGGCTCTCTTTCACACGAAACCCAAATTGGAGTTTCACTGTTAAACTAGCGGTGCAAATTTAAGCTTCGTCAAGTGGCACGCCCAGTGGGATTTGAAAACTAGGGTTTGTGTCACAAGCTTTCTCAAGCTTCTAAGACCTCTATAGCTTCCCTACCGCTGTTGAAACTAGGGTTCTTAACCAAACACAATGGCAATAACCGAAAAATCCCGGTCCAGTACGGCGTCAACAGGAAAACGACCAAGCACTAATGATGATGAAACCTTGGCTAAGTTCCGAGAAAGAAAGCAAAAGAAGAACAATCGTCAATCAAGGAGGGAAGAGCCTCCCACGGGAGAAAAAGAGGGAAATCCTAGCAACCACCATTTTTCTGATCCAGGAAACGACGGGCTGTTGGCTAAGATCAAGGCAGAACTCAAGAAACTGAAAGATAACAATGACCTCAATCAAAGAAAGAAGAGGTACATATTGGAGGAGTACAGACGCTATTTTTATTAGGTCTGCCTGAACCGACAGACCAAGAGTTGTAAGACTTGATTGACGAGAAAGAAGCTCACAGGACGTTGGCCTTGCTTGAGAAGAAAAAAGGCAAACGCAAAGTTCTAGCAGAAGAAGGGGGAGAAAGTTACAGAGAAACCTCCTACTGAGATCCCTACCACGAGATCCCTCACGTGGAGTTTTCCACTACTCCTGGCGCAACTTTTTGGGACACATTCAGAAGAACATATCCGGTGTTCTACACGGTGCTAGATCAGTTTTCCAAAGAACGTCAACAAAAGAAGCAATCTCATGATCAACAGAGTCAAGGTTCACCAGTGTCGAGTTTCTGTCTAAACAGGATTGGAAATGAGTAAGAAGTGAATGAGAATTAAATTTCTCAAGATTTGGAAAAATGAGTTTAAACTAGGGAATTTCGTTGCACATTGGTGTTGGAAGGACTTGGAGCTCACTTTATAAGTGAAAGCCCAAGAATGGATTGCAAGTGGCCTTGCCAATACTATACTACATATCTCCCGCTCGCGTGCCCGTGCAGGGGAGGTGCAAATGGAGGTCCAATCGAGGGCCAAAAATAGCCTGACTCATTTGTGTGCGCGACCTGCGGACACAAATTTCGAACCAAACTCTCGCGGATCAATCCACATTTTGCTCCATTCAGATTAATTTTTCCAATAAATTCATTGGAAATGTCAGATTAACTGAATTTAACACGGTTAAATGTTTTGCTAATAATGTTGAACGTTTCTGGTTGTTTCCAGAAATGAATGAGCAGTGTTTATTGTCTTAATGGTCAGGTTTGAATGGCCTTATTAACCTGCTGTGTTAATAATCTTTATGAGCAGTTTGAATGGCCAAAAACGTTTAAATGTTTCAGCTTTCAATTTGCTGCAATGTGTCAAAGTCACTTTGGGCTCCCATCTCAAAACTAATTGGCAATGAGTGGGGTGACCTTTGGAGCTTATAAAAAGGTGACTGATCCTTCACAACACCGATGTGGGATTCTTTGTCCCAACACAATGACTCTTGACGTTTCAGCTGAGTTAAAGGGTTTCTCCAGCTTATAAATAGGCACTCATTTTCCAAAGTTCAATACACCTTTCTCCCATCTCTTCTTAGTTTCTTTCCAGCTTTTCTCTCCTTCCACTTTCGGTGTTCATCACTTTATTCTAAGTTCTAGTTCGTTTGTAAAGTTGCTTTGTGCTAACTAGTTTCTATGTTTCCGTTATATCCTAGGAAACAGTTACTCGAGATCCTCAAGTACCTTAGGAGGGGGCAAATCTGTTTTAAGCAGATCGTGTTTTCACGAGTCTCGAATTTCTTTATTTTGAATTTTTCTTAGCCTTTACGAATACTTTTCATATTTTTTTTTTATTTTTTTCATAAATAAAGAAAAAAATAGGACAACACATATGCTCACCCTATATGCAGTACAATTTCAATAATAAAGAAAATTTACATCCTTATTAAATCGACGAACTCTAACTTTTGCCTTAGCCTTGGCTTTTTTCGATATATTGTGATATGTTGGAGCCGAAATTTCACTGTAAAAGAACTCTCGTTCCAATTCCCGTTCTGTGTCAAATTCTTCATCATCAGAATCCTTATAGATATGATTTTGTTCACCATCGGAATGTATTTCCTCAATCGAAAGACTTGGCTTATTAGACACTATATGCTTTCCTACCTCCGTATCATCTTTGGATAAGTATTGATTATGATTTTTTTCCATAATTGGGCTTGAGATTGGGAGCAAAATTTGGAGAAGAGGGACTTGAGGTCTAGAGAGTAGGAAAATTCGGCAAATTATCTGGTACACCCGGGAGCACCGTATACCCCCCTGTGCGTGTAATTTACTCTCTTAGAATAGTATGAGTTCGCTAGATAATTCATGCTTCTTTTTCTTTTTTTTTTTAGACGCGTGTGGATAACCAGTGTTCACCATGTGGATAACCAGTGTTGGCACTATGGATAACCAGTTACACACAGCTGGATAACCATTATTAACATGTTGGATAACCAGTATGGACATAGTGGATAACCAGTGTGCACATTATGGATAACCAGTTACACACAGCTGCATAACTAGCTGTCAAATTTCATTTTTTTCCTTTTATATTTTTCTTGGATATCTTTGTTCGTATTTTTACACTGGTTATCCAGCTGCCCCTCATTCATTTTTTGTTCTCCATCATTTGGCAAACTTCCCCTCATTCAATTAAATACTATTTATGAAATTTGTCATGTTCAGCATGAGGGCGGCACAGCCGCGAAAGACGGCGCAGCCGCAGGCACCGGCACAGTCGGGTCGTTTAGTTTATCACAGGGGGATTTATACAAGTAATTTGTGTCCCCTCTTAACGCAATAACACACTCTCTTTACATACACATGCTCCTTACACACACACGAAAAAAAGGATTACCTTAGCTACATTGACGTGTTCGGCGAGGCGGCGCAGCCGGGGCAGGTTGGTGACCTGCGATTCCGGTAGCCGCGGGAGTTGTTTAGTTTATCATGGGGGGCGAAGCCCCCCAATTAACATGTCGTACTGTTTATCCACAAGTTGTAAACTGGTTATCCAGAAGATGTAAACTGATTATCCAATGCTCTGTATTGATTATCCAGGACTTTTGTACTGGTTATCCAGCCAATATCTAGCAATATCCGACCGTTTATAATGGTTATCCAGGATCATTGTACTAGTTATCCAACTTGTTACACCTGATTATCCGAATGTTTTATAATGATTATCCAGTAAAAAAAAATGCAAGTACAGCATTTAATGTAAATGTGAAAAATGTTAAGTGCGTGTAACGCGTGTGTTTGGTGGGGGTATACGATATACCCGGGTGCACTGGATATGGACTCGAAAATTCGGCAGCAGCTGGATTTAACGTTTTTGTAATGCTATTATTGGAGCTATCTTTAGAAGAAGTTCCTTCCTTTTCTGATGGAGGGGATTTTGCAGAGTTTGACTTTAACTCCTCTTCTTTTGAAATTGAAATATCCTGGTCAGATGGGGAGAGAGGATTGCGCACTTTATCCTCATTAAAATTCAAAAGATTCTGTTGCGTTGACTGTGCAGATTGCGCTGAGTGAGATGATTGCGTTGGAGTCGCAGAAGGCACGGGATTCCGTTGAGGCCGTGAATTCGGTGGGATTTTCACCGGTGATTCACACCGGATTTCTTCCTCCGGCGATGAGGTTGTCGCAGCAGCGTGATGGTTTAATGTCGCAGCAGCAACATCGGGTAGCGGAGATGATTGCGCATTAAGGGTTTGACGGGCAGCACATGTTGATTGCGCTGAAGATGCGGAAGTAACGGAACACTGATCACGTTGGATTTCCTTTGCCGGCGATGGAGTTTTTCCTGAGTCTGACTGCTTATTTCCTTCCGACGATGAAGATTGCGTGGTTTCCTCCAGCGGAGATTTTTCAATATCCGCAATAGGCGCAGAAGTCACGATCATCGCAATAGGTGCGGGGCTCCGCTGAGATGGCTGCCGAGTCGGAGTTGCCTGTCTTTCAGTTGTCACCGGAAGCTCCAGCCGGCTATCCATATTCTCTGAATGATGGCCTAATTCCTGCGTGGAAATAATACCTCTATTGTTGGCTTCCGTTGGTGCAGCAATCGGAGATGCAACAGCAGCGATTACCATTGTTGATTGCTGTTGATGAGATGATTTGCCTTCCGCATTTATTGGAGCAGCATCAGCGGTTGCTGCAGCCACAGTTTGAAGCAGCGGCGGCATAACATCAAGAGTGTGTTGATTATTCTTTTCCACAGATTGAGTCGCCGATCGGCGTGGTTTGTCCAACGTCTTTGATTGTTGTTTTGGTTGTTGTTTTAGATGCCACGAATCTACCTTTTGTGATAATGATATGGTTGTGTTGTGACGACAGGAGTGGATATCATGCCCTATCTTCTTACATTCTACGCAATACTGAGGCATGTTCTCATAAAAAACTGATTGAAAGTAAGAGTTACCTTTAATTCCTAGTCTGATGCGAATAGGAGATCTAGCTCGGCACAAACTCGTGCCACTGATGGTCTCGACATATTGAGAGTCGGAACATCTATTTGAAGAGGTGTTCCGATGATGCTTGCAAGTTTTCATAGATATGCCTCGTTGAAGCCATGGATGTGGAGACCTTCAAAAAAAACCCAAATTGGAACAATGGAACTTTCATGCGCTGGATTAAAGTAGGTGGTCCATTTGAGAACTCGCATCCGATGCGTGTCAAACCTTTCAGCCAACAACGATAAAAATCTTCCTCCAAATCGAAGCACCTTTCAGCCAACAACGATAAAAATCTTCCTCCAAATCGAAGCAAATGAGGACATGTCGATGATCGTTCATGTCAAGCAAAAAGTTTCATATTTTAGCCAACAGTAACTAAAAACCTTGGATTCTCGATCCGGTGCTTAAAAGGCTTCCTGAAATGTGAAAACTGGAAACATGTAAACTGACACTAAAAAGTCTTTGGTGGTAATCAAACCTGGGTCTTCTGAGTTTGATGTTAGATCTTTAATAACTTGAGTTAGTTCCCCTTTAGCTTAACTTGGATAACTTTTTCTAACTGCAGTTTTCTTTTTGTTTGATTTCCTTTTGTGAGCAAGTATGAGGCAAAAACATGTTGAACTTATGTCTTTTGTTGTGCTCAACAATTTTTTCTAACTGCAGTTTTCTCTTTCTTTGATTTTCTTTTGTGGGCAAGTATGAGGCAAAAACATGTTGAACTTCATGTCTTCTGTTGTGCTTAGGGGTGTTCACGGTTTGGCTCAATTCGGTGGAACTGTCCAATCCGATCATCGGTTCGGATTAACGGACGGATTATAATTGTATTTTTAAACTGACAAATTGAAAAATTGAAAATCGGTCAATCTGGTCTGAATTATGGTTTGGCACTGTCAAATTGTCTGTCAATCCGGACCGGATTGTATATATATATATTATAAAATAATAATATATTAGTTTTGTATATATAGCGTCGGATAGACCGGATCGTACATATATATATATATATTATAAAATAATAATATATTAATTTTGTATATATAGCGTCAGATAGAAACTTTTATTGAAAGTGTTAAGTTGTCCTATTGACATTGTTGTTGCTAGACCTTGCTGAAGGATGTGTGTTTAAATCCTCCATGGACTTTTTTTTTTCAAGAAAAGCCTCCAAAAAAGGCCGAAAAAAGCCCAAGAGTTTTCAGGAAAAGCCCCCAAAAAAGGTCCAACAACAAAAAAATGTATTTTTGGCCCAAAATGAAAAAGCCCAATCAGAAATCTAAACCGCCAATCCGCCCAAACCAAACTGTTAAAAACGGATTGGATTGGTCCGGATTATACACCAATCCGGTCCGATTACGGATTGAAAATTTTTCAAACTGTAACGAACGACTTGGTTACGGATTGCTATCAATCCAGACCAATTCGGACCATAAACACCCCTAGTTGTGCTGAACGAAATGTGAATGGCAAATTGTAATAGTTCAAGTTAGATTGTTGTAAACTATTAACTCTTTGAAGTTGTCTCTTTTTCTTTCTTTTTTTATTTAATCATAATTATTGTTTGTCAAAAAACAAAAGAAAAAAGACAAATAATAACTGGACAGGACCCATTTCGTCGATTAAAGAAGTCAGTCATCTTCATCATCATTCCTTATAATTTTGGTGCGCAAAATTTAAACGGATAAGACGGTTTTTGAAGCTCAAAAACAAAACACCGGCCTCAGCCACACACACACACGCAGAGTCTCATTCATGGCTCCTTCTCTGCTTCTCCGCCTCCCCACCACTACCACCACCGCAAGTATCTTCCATCGTTCAAATTACATAAAACCCAAAAAAATTTCGACCCAAATCAGCTGCATTGGATGGGTATGATTATGAATCTTTTCTTTTAATTTTTCTTGTGCACCTGCTTGATATAATTCACGTCCAGCCTGATTGAAATTGGCTTATTTTTTGGTCGATTTTTTGTAAAGGAAGGACCCGGAAGGCGTATTAGGACCGCCGCGAGGAGGGCACATAGCTCGATTAGAGTTCAAGAAGCGGCTGGAAAAAGATGCCGGTGCCAGAGAAGCTTTTGAACGCCAAGTCCGCCAAGAGAAAGAACGCCGCCGAGCTCTTCGTGATGTATTAATTAAACATTTCTTTTTCTGGTCCCGTTTTCATGTAATTGTAATTCTTACAACATGGCTATGTATCTGGTGGATTGAGCAATTGGTTTTGTTTTCTGTGTTTTTCAGTCTCGGGGCGTACCAAATACTCCAGCGGAATTGGTTGAGTATTTTCTTAATACTGAAGCTCAAGAGATCGAATTTGAGATTGCCCGATTGAGACCCAAGTAAGTATACTTTGATTAATTGGGAAAATTGTGTAAAATGTTAAACAACTGTGGCTGTGGTGTAGAATTCCCAGTACAATTAACAAATTGATGAGAAATTCAGGTTCAAGAAGCGTTATTTTACTGAAACGAGTTGAGACAAAATATATTTCTTTACTTCACATGGCTTTACAACCATATAGAAGAACGAGACTGCCTAAATTACATAAGGCGATTTTGATTTTCCAACTTGATGCCCCCCTAATGCAGTGTGGGGATTTTGCAGATTGAATGACGAATTCTTTGCGCACATTAAACTTGAGTTGGGAAAAATTAAATTCGCTGTGACAAGAACTCAGGTTCGTCTACAAGAATTTCTAGTAATTTAAGTTCAATGGTACTGAATGGTGTGATTATGTGCATTGGTGATGGTGGTTTGTTAGGATATGGAGGACAGATTAGCTGAACTGGAACTTCTGGAGAAAGCCTTGCAGGAAGGAACAGGTCCATAAAACAGTAGTAAATATAACCAACTTCTTACAATTTGTCATCTTGAAATATCTCATTTTCTGATTTCTGATCCCTTGTAACTGACTATATCAGAAGCCTATGATAAAATGCAAGCTGAATTGGTTACTGCAAAGAAGAGTTTGGCCAAAATTTTGACATCACAAGATATAAAGAAAACAGTATGGTCTCCTCTTTACCAAAATTTCTTCCAGAATCATCAGTGCTTGGAATTATCAGCTGACTACTGTTTCTTCTAATCCAGCTACTCGAGATGGTTGAGCTGAATGAGCTGAATAGATCCCTATTGACTCTCCTTGATGAAAACATTGCTGGTGCACAACGTGCCAACCAGGTTCAAGCATTACAGATTCAAGATAGTTTGCATATAATCGAATTCTGAATGCTTAGTTCTTAGATCTTGCGTTTAGGAGGCTTTTGAAAAAAGAACTGCCATAACAAAAGAATTATTAGATTACGAAAATTTCACTGTTAACTTCAATAATTTGGAGTGATGGACCTGGTTCAGTTAATCTACACAGAGTACATAATCCATTTTGGCTTATTTTCAAGCCAGCTTCTTTATGTTTCTGCATGTGTTTCAAGTGAATATGATCCCTTAAATCAACTGCATTTATTCACAACTGCTTTATTTAGGAGCAGTGTTTCTAACTGAATTAAACCTTTGCAGAAAGAAGCAGCAGACTATATGACAAAGATTCGAGGGGCAGTGGTTAAGTATATCACGATTTAGTTACCAGGTAAAACATCATATACCAGGCTCGCTCTTGTCCTTGGCCATACCTATATTGTACAAATTGAGTAGGTGGCACCTCATCAAGACTACTTTCCTACATTTGTTTTCAATCTTTTGTTAATCTTTTGATGAATGAAGTTACATTTCTACTCTTACAGTGCAAATTAAATTCAATTTCGGAAAGATCAGTTACAGTTAATCATCACCAAATATGGATCACGAATCAACATTAGCCCTCAAACCTGGCTCAAAGAGGCCAAGAGGAGAACATAATAACACATAATTGATGTCATGAGACCACTAACCCCTACAATTTTTAGTCTCATCAATATCATATTATTATGCTTAAACTATTTTTCACATTTCCGCAGATGGAGTTTGTCTTGAGGCCTGATTGTTCCCCAGCAGCTAGTAAGTAACAACGCAGCATGTTCAAAGTGAGTTTTGGTTTCTCTGTCCACAAAGAAGGCATCTTGGAACTTTTCTTTTTGGACTCAGTATTATATAAATGAGAATAACAGATTCCATATCCGATAGCAGATCATTCTTTTCCAAAGATAGCAGAACTGTAGTACACTCGGTTCAAGCCCTACAAAAAACTCAGCATATCATATGTAACTCCCGAATTGTAGCTTCAGATATCCGGTTTTGTCCCGTGCTTGTATGTAAAATTGAAACGCTGGATTTAGTTTTAAGACCTAAGAGTTGGGATTTTTCTAAGATGCATTACATATGACTTGATTTGGGATATTGTCAAAGCAAACATTACGAGACACAGAAGAATTGGTGAAATCATAGCTTAAAACTGTCATCAGGTAGGTCATTTAGCGACCTGTAAAGTGTACCAGTAGCAAATGAAGCTAGGAAGCACAAAGTAGTCCTACCTACCCTCCCTCCCTCATTGGCAAGATTAACAATTCTACATGAGTATTTGCACAATGGATAGGCTAATTCTAGTTTTATTGTTAACTAACTATTGGCACTGGATAATTGGTGGCACCTAATTATTCATGTTCATTGGAAATGATCAAAACATTAGGAACTTGTGAAATTGGTGGAATGTGCAAACTAGTAATCAATTTATTGAGGAACAATTGACTTAAAGAGAAATTAATTAACTACGGAATTATTTGATTGAGCCAGTATAAAATAAAACTATGGTTCCAGGAACACCTATGAACTTCTAAATTGAAATTCGTTGATTGCGCGCAGTAGTATTAGTTGTGTATGTGGTAATCTAATTATTGAGGAATCTTGTCTTCTTTTTTTTTTTTTTCTTTTATTTTTACTAGTATGTGTCCCGCGCTTTGCGCGAGTTTGTCAATGTTAGAAAATTTATCTTCTAAAAGAATTAATTAGATAATGTAGTTATTAATATTTCTTAAAACTGTAAATTTTTTTGATTAATCAATTTTAGATCAAAATGAGAGGTATTGATATTATTTATGAAATGTATATTTGTAAGATCTGGCCAAAAATATTACAACAAAAATTTTGAAAAGTTGTATAATAAAAATTGTCACCACTAATTAATGTTATGTTTGGATTAAAAAATATATTAAAAAATGCGTAAATTATGTCTAGATGCCTATGCCTATGGATTAAAAAATATATTAAAAAATGCGTAAACACAATTAATCGTCCTTGAAAATGTAAAATTGATAAAATTGAAGACAAAATAACACATAAATAGAACTTTAAGAACTAAAATAATAATAAGTTAAAAGTGATGCTTGATGGTCTCAATTAGCGACACATGTCGATTACCTTTCTTTCTTTCAATATATGTAATGATTTTTATTTTTTTGAATAAAGAGGAATATAGTAGTGGACTAAAGCTATATATACATATATGTATATATATCCTACTATATTAGAAACAAAAACCTCCCTTTCAAACACCTCATATGATTGCCACGTGGCATGTAGAAAATACTAAATTGCCCTTTTGTCTAACCATAACTAAATTACTAAATATCCCTTTGGACTTTACGTGACACGTTTTTTTTTTTAAATTTTTTCTTTATGTTTCATTCAATTAGAGTGGTTTTTTAAATTGAATTGATCAATTAGGTTTTTTGTTACAAAGTGTCAATTTTGTTTTAAGCGTATACCCTTCAGATGAATCTTATTACAAAGCTATTAAAAATCTCCAAAACTAAGTATTGATTTGGCACGACCAATAGAGAACGTCAATAAATCATCTTACTAATATTTAAATTTATTAGGATGCTTTTATATTTTATCTAACATTTACTTCAACACATATATTCGATTAAGCTATTTATATTTAATAAGTAACACTTATAAAACATTTCTAAAACATACACGGTGAAATACAATTTATTTATTTATTTTTTGTGAAATACAAATATTTCTATGATCACACTTATAAAACATTTCTAAATCCTTCAAACATTTCTAAAATATATCGCTCCAAATACAAAATTTTATTTTTTTTAAATATAAACCTTTTTAAGATCTACAGATAGACTGGGCCAGGGTCGCGCATTGCGCGACCAGACATCACTAGTATATATATATATATATATATTATCAAAGTTTTCCCACTCTAATTTATTTGGTAGAGAAATTAAAGATAAAAAAAAAACAAACTCCTGATATTAATTTAATTTTCTGAATTTTTTTGGTCTGCAACCTACCGATTTCATTCGTTGAGCCTGTATAAAATAAAATAAAATTGTGATTCCAATTGCCAGGAATGCTGCACTCTGTAACAACACACATCCTAGTACACTATACTCTGTAACCACTTTTGATAGGTTATCATGACTCGTGATATATATCTTTCATAAATTATTGACTATACTCAATGGGGGAGGGGATATCTGCGTCTGGATTTTGTTTAATCTTTTACTAACAAAAATGAAATTTTGTAAAAAGGATGTCACTAATCCATAAGGTGATACTTCGTGAACTTGACCTCTCACAGGCAATCACTTCCAGCTCATTCTTCTCCTTTTTTTTTTTTACTCTTCCGTCCCAAAATGATTATCCAGTTTGAGATTTCACTTTTTGTATATTTTGAACTAAAAATAAAAACTCAAACTAAACAATAATTTTGAGACGAACTGAGTATTTTTTTTTTTTTCTGTTTTAGAAAAAACTTTTGATATACCACGGGATTGGTACTGTATCTACCCCCAACTAATTTAAATAAAAATTGATAAATCTCTTTCAACAGTCAAAGTTCTCACAATAGTAACCAAACCTTCCTCGTTGCTCTTTATTCTTAATTCATCAATCTCTACTTCCCTCCACTTAATCTTTGTAGAGGAGCATCAACTCAACTACGTCCAAAGCAAGGCACATGCTTGAATTTCGAGAAACTTCCAATTTTAAAAAAGTTTTTTTCTTTTAGCAATTGCCACTAGTACTACTATTGAATCTCACTGCCTTTTAGTGGACCACACACTAGTTTGGCCAGTGTAACATGAAAACTGAAGCCCAAACCACATTGTTTATAGGAATAATGGTGAAAGACAAATCTTCCTTTTCTAGCTACTACTGGATTTTAGTTTTTATAGTACTCACAATCTAGTAAATCAACCCTTACGTTTCTTTGTCTTTATACACCAATTTGACACTTCACATGCAAATTATAACGGCAAGATGAATTAAATTAAGTTGGTGTATATCTCTAATCTCTATATTTATTCTATTGCCCTTTGCCATGAGAGCTGAGCCGATTATAATTAATTATATAGATTATTATTTTGGCAGGTTAGATGCTTTGCAAGTTGGGCCCCTAAGCCAAATATCTAAGCGTAGGTAACAGTCAGTAAACCATATTAAAATCTTTGCAAAGAAGAAGCAATGCAATGTGGCACCGAAATTGTCATTTGTTACTAAAATGGTCCTTTGTATCTAAAGAAATGAGCTCCTTAGTCCCTTAATGAAAAATTTTAGTCTTTTTTTTTTTTTTTGGAATGACCGAGTTTTTTTGGTCCCTTGATTTTCTTGAAGTGATACGTGAGGAGAAGATGTATGAAATTCACCAACATCACTAATTGATCTTTCAGTAATAAAGTTAAGTTGAAAAAAAAAATTAATCATTCTCTTTTTGTACAGATAAACAAGATGAAATAACTACTTGGTACTTCTCTAATTCAATTATAATGCTCAAGTGAGAAATCACTAGGGTATTAATGCACATTAACTTGTTGATCCCCTCCTATGTGGAAATATAGTTTGTGTTTGATCTATGTTTAGTGTTTAGTGTTTACTTATGAACTACTGACATCGTATTTTAAAATATATGTTTACAATTAAGCAGTATAATAAGACCGTATCTTGAAACGTGAGGGACCATTTTAGTAATTGTCATTTTCTTTTCTGTTTTCCCCTTTGATTTCTTTTGTGAAGTTTACTCAGCCCAAAGGCTCTATATACATAAATAAAAGATGACCTTCTAGTTCTCATCTCAGTCCTCAACTCAGCTAAACTCTTTAACACAAAAAGGAACAACTGCCCCAAAACTACCATCAACTACACACTTCAAGCCATAACCTAACACTAGAAAGAAAGGGAAAAAAATGAGCAACTCTGGTACTCTGTTCTTGCTAGTTTTCTTCTCTTTTCATTGCCTAACTTCAAGCACTACTGCAATAGCACCAGCTCCTGCTGTTGTTGCCGCCCCAAACACCACTTTCGTCACAACCCCTTTCATCAAGGAAGCCTGCAGAGCCACTAGATACTACCTTTTATGCATCCAATGCCTGACCCCTTTCTCCAAAATAGTGAAACAGAGTGAGAGGCAAATAGCCAGAGTCGCTTTAGCAGTTTCCTTAGGCAAAGCTCGATCCGCAGCAGTGTTTGTAACCAAGTTGGCTTCAGCAAAGAGACTCCAGCCCAGAGAGTATCAGGCACTGAAGGATTGCATGAACAACATGGCGGACAGCGTAGATCAGCTCAACCAATCCATGCAAGAAATGGGTCGGGTGAACAATCGATTGGCGGGTCAGGATTTCATATGGCGGATGAGCAATGTTCAGACCTGGGTAAGTGCTGCTTTGACTGATCAGAACACTTGCAGTGATGGGTTTTCTGGGCGTTATTTGTATGGGGCTAAATTCAAGGTTATTGTAAGGAGAAGAGTTCTTTATGTTGCTCAAGTCACTAGTAATGCTCTGGCTCTGGTGAATCGGTTTGCATCCAGATATCGACCAAGAATTAATTCAGCCCCCAGTACTGTTCCTTGAACTTGAAAATCTCCCCTGTTTTACTTTTTTTTTTCTTTTTTCTACAGTCCTTCTTCAAGCTCTGAAAGTTTTGTGCTTGTAAATGGTTTGTACTTTGTAGTATTACTGTAAAACTTTGAAAGTACTGTTAAAGAAACTGTGAAGTGAGTGTGTGACTGTGTGAGAGATTGTGAGTACTAAAAATGTGGTACATGTATCCAGTTTTTGTGCCATGTTCTGTTGCAACTTTAGTGCTCTGTTTTTGTATACTCCTCCAGTAATGAAGCTTATATTATGTGCCATTGACTAGTAGATAGTTTATGATTTGTGAGTCGTGCATTTTAAACAGAGCAATTTAATGAAAAGACAGAGATCATAACTGGGATTTTTCGACATGATTAGTGGAAAGACTTTCACTGATCATTAAATGGTATCCATCTTCATGACTTCATCCTGATCATCAATAATTAAGGAAAAAGAAAAAAAAACCGATGACTGAAATTTTAAACTAGTCTGATACTCTGAAAACCTGTACGGACAACTGAATGTGCACGCCTGCGCGATTTTCCTGCCTTGTTTAATGAGGCATAAAATGAGGTATCAAGTCGCAGGAACGAAGAAAGTTCCTCTTGACCTGTGGAGACCTGGGGAAACGGGATCAATGTTCCCGGCTTAATCTGCGGAAATCCAAGACCATAATAGTCTTATTCCGGGATGTCATTTCCGTCCCTAATTTGTTTTATTCAATTCAGTTTTAGCCTTTTAGGTTGCGTTTTTTGAACCGATGATTCTTTTGGCATAAGAAAAGAGCCCAAAGTGTAAATCATAACGTTATAAGATTTCGTTGATAAGAAATACCGATCATATTGTTTTATATTGTTTTCTAGCCGGATTTTTTTGGACCAATGATTTTCAACAAATAAAGAAAATGTAAGGCAAATCGGTCATCTTTTTGACATTGGGTAGACCGATCTCAGAGACCACCATTTATCATATTTTTCTGTACTATATTTACGTCTTGTTAAAGAAATCAACAAAATTGTAGATATGAATTGCTATGAACAAATTAGTCACAAAAAATGATCCTTAATTAAACAATTTGTGGGGGGAATCCGACAAAATCTCAGTGGAGACTGGGGATTGGAGGGATGGACAAGGCTGGATAAAGACAACGTTATGACAACGTCAGGGTTTAGTTATCAGTGACATAATGAGTACAAGTAATCAATAGTTTTCTTTTTAAGGCCGGCGAGTTTAGCAGCATTATTTTAAAGTTAAACAAGTAGTATAGTAAGAAGATTAAAAACTGGAGTAAGACAGATTTATAAGTTCGAGGGAGGGATTGAGTTATTTGAAAAGTAAATATTGATCCGGATCAACTGAACGTGAGCTGTTTATTTGAACTAAGAGTGTTTATTGTGCTATGTGTAAATTGTACGCAAGGGATCTGCTTCTAGTATTAGAGAGTAGGAATGTCGATTTAAATGTTTAGAATTCAGTAAGTTCTGTTACATTCATATCCTCAAACGATAGCAAAATAGCCAAAAATTTTGAGAGCCATCATCAGACGTTAAAAAAGGGGAGTGAGAGGCAACAAGTTGAGGAGAGTTTATGGGGTATCAACGTCTAATTAAACTATGATTGACTGATTGATATCCATTAAACTATGACTGGAGCACGATATTAACAAGATTTCACATTTATGTAATGTGTTTGGTACATTGTCTCTTCTATTGTAAATAAAATTAACTGATTAGTATTAAACTATAGTTAGAGCATGATATTGTCGAGATTTCGTATTTACTTAATATATTTGTTCAATTTTTTAGCCTCTTCTATGGAGATAAAATAAAAAATTGAAAAAAAAAAAAAAGGAGTGAGAGGGACAAGTGGAGGAACTTACGGTTTGATTTGGCACGTGGATTAGAGCTGTACATTTTGGGAAAATTAATGTAATTTCGTGAGGAATATGTACTTCCCAAAAGAGTGAGGATACACAACTCACCTAATTTATCTCACCTTCTCATCTCACCTTATATGACATTTAGTTATTAAATGAAAAAAATTAATTAATTATTAGATAAAATCTAATAAGTTAATTTAATTATTTTTTTGTTAGATTCATTTATCTTTTGAATACTTCTATATCTAAAATTTTAAAATAAATATAGACCCTAACCCCTGAAAAAGTAAACCCTTTAGGGTAAAATTATAACTAACGAAAATATAATCAGTAGGTCGAATATTAATAAGAAATATAGTTATATATTTATTTAATTTATTTAGATTTAAATAACAAATGAATTGGCCAATCGATAGATGCCATGTAGGATGAGATGATAAGGTGAGTTATTTAGGTGAGCTACCTATCATTATTCTTCCCAAAAACAGGAATAAGCAGACTTGCTACCCACCTTTGTCACACTTGTTACTACTACTCACTACCATGTGAAGCCCAACTGCTCCTAACAATTATTGATCCAAATAATTACTCCATCCGTTCTTATGTTTTCGGCACACTGCTTAGTCTTAGACTCGTTAGGTAAGTAATTGAAACAATTAGTGCTCGTTCTATTCTCCCTTCGATAGTATAAGATACTTTAATTTGTTCTAAAATTTTAGAATTATTTTATAATAATATGAAGAATACAATAAACGTATTTTTAAAATATCTTCAATTAGAACAAATCAAAATGTTTTATAATGAGGTATGAAAGGAATATTAGATTTAGTTGGGCTGGACCTATCTAAAAGTATCTAGAGGTAGTACTATTAAATGCTAGATGTTAAATGGGCATATGGGAAAATGAAAAATTCTCCTCAAACCGAAGACAAAAGAGCTACCCCTAAGGGTCTCCTCAATCCTTAGGATATGTTTGTTTCGTTTTTTTAATGTGTGTTTTTAGGTATTTTTTGTATTGAGAATGTAAAAAGATATATTAGAAATGTAAAAAGATATGCTGGAATGAGACAGTTATTATTTAAATATTATGAAAATACCATCAAAAAATCCAAACAAACAAAGCCTTATAGATGCATAAATGCACGGGATCCAAAGAATACATACTCAGTGTTCTTATCTCTCCATTCCCATAATCTTTGTCTGCAAGCAAGCTAAGGAAACATTAATGACATATTGGGAAATTCCCCCCTCAAGACCTAAGTAAAATGGAGAGTTACTGCATTTTGTAACTGGAGGAATTCGAACATGATATTGCAATGGCATTACTACTTATTGGGCCGTCGAGTAATAAACAATTCTGATATTAATATAGAGTGATGAAGACCGTGAAAAATGAGAAAAAGGTGAATAAAAGATCCAAGATCTACTGATGGATGCCAGTAAATCAAAGATGAATAAAACCAACAATATTTGGAACTTATGAAATAGTAATATCTGTTTGGGCTTTTAATGTCTGGGTTTGTAATATTTATTTCTTTTCATACTATAAACAAGAAAAATAAAGCTTCAAAACATGATCAGATGTATTTTAAAAAAAGAAAAAGAAGAACCAATTCAAAATATTTCAAGGTCTGCCTTGTGCCACGTTCGTTTCAACACATGAAAACAATGGACTGGTTCGGGACTTCGGATCCATAACCTCATCCAAACAACATAGTGATTGTGATATTGGGCCATTAAGAGGCCCACAAAAGAAGTCTTTATTCGTAATCCAGCATTTTTGTGAAGTCCAGGCAGAAGTGACGTGTTCCTTCTAAAACCATCACTAAAATTGGTGGATTTATGGCATTCATTAAGAAAAAAATAAATAACTAAAGAATTGGACTTATGATTGAAAGTTATTTCATAAATATAGACTTAATAGTACTGTCGAGAAATTACATTGAAAAAATAAAATGCTAAGAAGTTTGTATAGTCATGTAGTGTCACCTAAGTAGAATTTGAATTTTGAAACTACTTTACGAAAATTAAATTGTGAATCAGCAAAGGACAACGAAATATGTTCTTCTCATATTCCATTAAAATTCAAGCTGGAATAATTACGATCAAGATAGGCGCCACACATAAATATAAAATACGGATATGTTCTTCTCATATATTCCATTAAAATTCAAGTTGGAATTATTACGATCAAGATAGGGCGCCACACATAAATATAAAATACTTTTGCCGGTTCGAAAAAATAGTCCAGTTTGTATTTTCATTTATATTGTCTCTAACTTGCAACAAATAAAAATTAAAAATGGATAACTATTTCAAAATCGTGGAAGTAATACTAATAAATAACTAATTATAAACTCAAAAAAAAAAAAAAGTAGTACTATATCTGTATATGCCTTTTACCAAAAAAACTGTATATGCTAGACCACACAAATTCATCACCAAGTAGCCATACTCAATCCGCAGGCCTCAACCTCTCATAAAATACTTGGGATTTTTCGTTATCCCCATTGACGAATGGGATTGGAAGGGGCCAAAATAACCACGAAATAATTTATAACAATCATACCAAAGCCAAAACTCTAAAGCCCCCCGAGCTTTCCCTGCGTTTGCGAGTGCCAACTGCAGTAGAAGAAAATGGCAGCAGAATCATTGTTGAAAATGTCATCTGCTTCTACTGCTTCATCACTCTACAACTTATACGGCTCCTCAAGGAGACCTCTACCTTCCAAGTCTCTCCGGCGACAGGGCAATTCTGGTAGCAGTGGTAAAGTCTGTTCACTCAATACTTCTTCGGCTTCAGAATTCTTTGGAAGCCTCCGGCGCCTTCGAACATCTCCAAACCTCTCAATTTTGCCGCATAATCAGAGGATGCGAAATGGGTTCAGCGTTTTCGCCATGGCAGCCGACGGTCTCTTCTTCTTACTTATCTCTATCTTTTTTGCGTTTGTACTTTGTAGCCCTGTTGTTTGTTTTTCTACTGGAATGTTTGTTTGTTGAATTTTTGTTGATTTGGAGATACCCTTTGTGCTCTTAATTGAGGAATTAGGATAAAGCTGTTGTCTTTATTGTCATTTGGTTGAAAGCGTCATGGCTTCGGTTGTCTTCTTACTGAATTACTCCATCCTTCCTTTATGTTCGATGAATTGCTAGCTGGTTTCTTATATGGTTTTCGTGGATTGAGGTTTTAGAGCAAGTCCATGATTTGATAGTTCATTTCTTTTTGAAGTTTGTATGTGCTTTGGCATGATAGTTCTCTTAATCGCATGAGTTGATATTGTGATTCCATTGTATGAAAACCTTTGAAGGGAGTTGTGATGTTCTGAACCATCATTTGTTGCTGAAGGGCTGTTTTTAAGTTAAGTGTACTTGGATTAGAAATTATTTTGGTAATTGGCTAAACAAGTTTTCTTTGTGCTTTTTAAATTTGCAGAAGGGAAGAGAGCATTTCCTTTGAAAGACTATCGTAATATAGGAATTATGGCTCATATTGACGCAGGAAAGACAACTACGACAGAAAGAATACTGTATTACACCGGTAAAAATTACAAAATTGGTGAAGTGCATGAAGGAACAGCCACCATGGATTGGATGGAACAAGAACAAGAGAGAGGAATCACCATTACATCCGCTGCCACCACTGCAGTTTGGGACAATCATCGAATCAACATTATTGATACTCCTGGGCACGTTGACTTTACCCTCGAAGTGGAGCGTGCCCTTAGGGTTTTGGATGGTGCTATCTGTTTGTTTGATAGTGTTGCTGGAGTGGAACCCCAATCTGAAACTGTTTGGAGACAAGCCGACAAATATGGTGTCCCTAGAATATGCTTTGTCAACAAAATGGATCGTCTTGGTGCTAATTTCTTCCGAACAAGAGACATGATAGTCACAAACTTGGGTGCTAAGCCGCTTGTTATTCAAATTCCTATTGGTGCAGAGGATAATTTTAAAGGAGTTATTGATCTGGTCAAGATGAAAGCTATTGTTTGGTCTGGGGAAGAATTGGGCGCAAAATTCTCCTATGAAGACATTCCTGCTGATTTACAAGAGATTGCCGAAGATTATAGGGCGCAGATGATTGAGACGGTTGTGGAGCAGGATGATGATGCTATGGAAAAGTATCTGGAAGGAACTGAACCTGATGAGGCAACAATCAAGAAGCTAATCAGGAAAGGAACTATCTCCGCCAGTTTTGTTCCCATTCTATGTGGCTCTGCTTTTAAGAATAAGGGTGTCCAGCCTCTTCTTGATGCAGTTGTTAGCTATTTACCTTCTCCACTTGACTTGCCACCAATGAAGGGGACTGACCCCGAAAACCCAGAAGTGATCTATGAAAGGAAACCTGATGACAATGAGCCTTTTGCAGGATTGGCTTTCAAGATTATGAGCGATCCATTTGTGGGATCCCTAACTTTCGTTAGGGTTTATGCAGGGAAGCTCACTGCAGGATCCTATGTTCTTAATGCCAACAAAGGGAAGAAGGAGAGAATCGGTAGACTTTTGGAAATGCATGCAAACAGCAGAGAGGATGTCAAGGTAGCCTTAGCTGGTGACATTGTTGCTCTTGCTGGTCTGAAAGATACAATAACTGGGGAAACACTGTCTGATCCCGAAAATCCTGTAGTCCTGGAAAGGATGGATTTCCCTGATCCTGTGATAAAGGTGGCTATTGAGCCCAAGACCAAAGCTGACATTGATAAGATGGCCAATGGTTTGGTCAAGCTTGCTCAAGAAGATCCATCTTTCCACTTTTCAAGAGATGACGAGACCAACCAAACAGTTATTGAAGGAATGGGAGAATTGCATCTTGAGATTATTGTTGATCGGCTTAAAAGGGAATTCAAGGTTTGGTTTCCTAATTCAGTTAGTTTTGTTCTCCTACAATTTTAAAGTATTTAAATACTTGTTTAATTAATTCATTGCTTCCTTGCACCTGGTATCTCACCTGTGATTAAGCCAATTAGTATGGAAGCAAGTTCTATGATACGAATGCATAAAAAATTTGTGCTTTTTCTCTGTAACTTATTCCCTAATCCATGAAAGTAATGATTTCTCGTGTATGAAGAAATATTCACAAATTAAAAAATCCAACCTATTGCTGAGATGGAACGCAGTTGAACAATTTGGTCGTCATGAAGTCTTAATTCTTGGTCCAGCAAAGCATGCAGTTGTCCTTGTTTCATATGTTTCTTAGTGATCCTTCTGACCTCTTAAAATGTACTTCGATATATTTTTGTATCATGAATAATGTATTATTTGTATTTGCAGGTGGAGGCTAATGTTGGCGCACCCCAAGTGAACTACAGGGAAAGCATATCTAGAGTTGCAGAAATCAAGTATGTTCACAAGAAACAATCTGGTGGTGCAGGGCAGTTTGCAGATATCACTGTAAGGTTTGAGCCTATGGAGGCAGGTAGCGGGTATGAATTCAAGAGTGAGATCAAGGGAGGAGCGGTGCCAAAAGAATATATTCCAGGTGTTATGAAAGGGTTGGAGGAGTGCATGAGTAATGGTGTTCTGGCAGGCTTTCCCGTGGTTGATGTTCGTGCTGTTTTGGTAGATGGTTCATATCACGATGTGGATTCTAGTGTTTTGGCATTCCAACTGGCAGCAAGGGGAGCTTTCAGGGAGGGAATGAGGAAAGCTGCTCCGAGGATGTTGGAGCCTGTTATGAAGGTTGAAGTTGTCACCCCTGAAGATCACTTAGGGGATGTTATTGGTGATCTTAACTCAAGAAGAGGACAAATCATCGATTTTGGCGATAAACCTGGTGGCCTCAAGGTACTTACTAGATCATTTAAATTGTTCAGTTTCGTTTTGATTGATGGTCCTTAGTAGTTGACTAGCTTTGCCCCTTCTTTTATTATCAGGTTGACATATTTCTTTGTTGGTAATGCAGGTTGTGAATGCCTTAGTTCCATTAGCAGAGATGTTCCAATATGTGAGCACTTTAAGAGGAATGACTAAAGGTCGGGCATCCTACACGATGCAGCTGGCAAAGTTCGATGTGGTTCCTCAACACATACAAAACCAGCTTTCTTCCAAGGAGGAAACGGTTGCTGCTTAATCTGGTTTGTACTTGGTTTAAGGCAGTAGATTACTGTAGAGGAATGGTAAGTCTTGGTTTCTAACAAAATGTGAAGACTTCGAAGAACAGTCTGATATTTGTGTGCCACAATTTTGATGCATGATTTGAAATCCCCAAGCACGTCTATTATTTTTTGTACTGAACTTTTTCATACACGATTGCTTGCTCGTATTGGGGGTTTGAAGCTGTTGAACAGTGACCTGTTTAATGACACATTTGCACAAAGACAATTTTCTTGACAATGTCGCGAGCTAAATTCTACTGGCAGAGATGTATGGTCCCGACGTCCCGTTGCCAAATCGCTACGTTGATTCAAAATAATTAAAAATTTTTAAAACACATCTACTTTTGAATGGACAGAAAATACTGCTACAATTCTTGTTCTTTGAAACCCTTTTTCTTTTTTTTTCCCCCCTCGTTGAAACCTAGTCAGTGATCGATGAGGCACTTTCTGTCTGTACTCAACCAACTTTAATCCTCCCCATGCGGGTTCTTACACTTTAAGCACCAAGCATTTTCGTGGAAACAAAAAACACAGAAACACTGACTACCAAGGGAGAAAGGCATACCAGGTTTAATAATAAAACGTTCTCAAAGAGTAACTCAGATATAAGATCAATTTCAGAAAGTATTCACCAGACGATAAAGACATTCAGAGGAACAACCCAAAATTTAATCAAAAGTAACGTATTTCCACCAATCCATCCAATTACACATCAAAAATAATGTGTTTCCCTAAGCAATATGCCAAGCTTCCCTTTTGTTGATCATCTCATCTGGACAATCCCTGCACTGACTAGTTTCTGTATCTTGTTCATCACTTGAGGGTTCTTTGTATGCTCTTGCGCAGCTTTGGGATTCTCTTGGAAGTCAACTAGCACCTGCACGTATTGTAAGATCATCAGGAAATGTGAAAAATTTGGGGCTTCGGCGCTTCGCCACAATAAAGAAACACTGGACCATAGGAAGTAGGAACCAACCTGTCTCATTACTGGATCTGTCAGGATATTTTGGATTTCAGGGTCCTGCATAGCCTTCGCCTGCAAATTCCATTGACTAAGCTTAAGATGTTCCGCATAATTTTTTGAAAAGTAATCAACTTAAGCAGGTAATTATCAAACCTGTCTTTCTTTAAGCTCCTCAGGGCTTAAATCCCCCCGGCTTGCCTTGTTTATTTGAGACACACATCTGGAGCAGAATTTCAATCATACATGAGATCGTGAAGCTACAATGATCATCACCCTAAAACTCAATAAAGGAATAAATGCAAATCCACTACTTACCTTTTTACACCGTCTAATAATTCCGCATTGTTTGGGTCATGCTTCAACCCCTCCTGATATGTTTCCAATGCTTTTTCATACTCCTTCATGAAGAATTGGACAGCACCCTTTCTAGTGTAACCCTTGGAAAATGTTGGATCTAGCTCAATGCACTTCTCGGCATCTTTTAGTCCCTCAGGTAGAGCCCCAAGTTTGGTATAGCAAGCAGCCCTGTTGCTATATGCCTGGAACCACAGCAACATCCATAATTAGATATCCTTCCATGGAAATAAAAGAGGGGAACATTAACAAGCATCCTAGCTTTGTTTAGTCATAAAATAGGTGCACGTACCCTTGGATCTTTCGGGTTTCTCTTTATGGATTCTGTGTAGTGCTTGACAGCCTCAGGGAATTTCTGCTCTTTGAAGTACTGATTACCTACAAAAAAAGAAAATGACAAAATTATTAGGCAATAATCTCAAAGCAACTTAGTCAACTATGAAATTAGCTAACAATGAAGTCACCCATAAACATATAGAAAAGATACCTTTTTCACGCTCCTCGTCAGCAATCTGTGGATCAAAGTATTCTTGTTGCTCCAGATCCTTCTTCGCCTTCTCAGCTTCATTCAGCTTCTTAAGTGTGTCAGGGTTACGATGCTCAGTTAGTGCCTTTTGGTAAGTCTCAATCGCACGCTCATAATCCTTGGAACACTTTGCCATCTTTACCAAGGCATTTCCCTTTCTAGTAAGAGCCCTGGCAATCATCTTGAAGTCTGACCTCAATTCTCTCCCTCTTTCAACTGCTTTGTCACAGTCTTTAATGCATTCATCATACTGTAAAATTCAACGCCAAACTTATCAGAACTACACATAAAAAAACACATACAAGACATCTAAAACATCAAGCAATGTAAGAACCAGAAAGCATGTGAAAGCAGACTATTTCCTTTTAAATTTCATTTCCTCACTTTCGCCTCTCCTAATTCACGCATGTACCTCTCATGAGTAGAGTATCATAACTAAGCAAACCCAAATCCAACAAAAAGGCTATGAAGAACAAAAACTAGAATCACTACTGCCCGAACAGAAAAAGAGAAGTTACAAATCAACATTGCCAAGTACCAAACCAAATGTCCTATATATATTTAAAAAAAAGCCTCCCCCAACACAGTTACATTAAGCATCTCGACAAAGAGGTGGGGACAATGACAATGGCAGCTTGAGTAAGATATACATTCCAAAAATGGAACACCCTAGCAGAGCGATAGCAGATGAGGACTGAACAAGATAAAAGGGTAAGAATTGGGAAAAACCAAGCATACATTAGCCACAGATGTACAATGTAAACACAACATAGGACATAATTAAACCATAGAACTAACTAAGAGGAATCCTACAAGTTTAAGCCATTGACTCAAAACCATCAAAATTGGCTGAGCAGAAGCAACAATCCCCTAAGGATTCACATTTGCAAAATCGAACTGCACTAGACTCTGAAAACGAAATTGACTTGCACTAGACAATGAAAACAATCACCAATAAAACTAGATCCTTATAGAGTATTAACTTGTAAAGGTGCAAGGCTATTAAAGATAACAGAAAAATCAATTGCATACCTTGCCCATCTCCAAGTACACAGCTGCACGATTGGTGAGGAAAGAAATATCCTCATCATCGAGCTCAAAAGCCTTAGTATAGTGCTGAATTGCGGTTTCAAAATCCTTCTTCTTGTAAGCAGCATTGCCAGCTTCCTTCTCCTTCTGAGCCTGCAACTTCCTCTCCTTAATCTCCTTCTCTTCTTCCGAAACCTCCATAGGCTCGGGTTCTGGTTCGGGGGCCTTTTCAGGCCTCTTGTCCTCTTTCACGGGCTCGCCTTCAGCAGGCCTCTTCCTTTCAGGAGATCCTTCAGCCATCTCGGCATCACCCCCTCCTGGTCCTTCTCGGGCATTCAAGTTCAACCCCAACAAAACTCCAAGAGCCTGCATTACCCTCTGGTCCTTCAAATACATGTTCAAACTGCTGGGATTCTTCTGAATATCCTGCATAATCTTCACGAAATCGGGCTGTTTCAGGAAAGCCCCGGTAGAGGGATCAGTCGTGAGCCTCGTCCACATCTCCGGTCCGGAGAATACATCCCCAAACGGATTAGCAGGCTGCTGGGAGGGCCTGGATCGGGATTGAGCAGCTTGGGCATCAGCAAGGCCCGACTTCAAGGCTTCGTTGTTGGGGTCGAATTCAAGACCCTTCTTGTAAGCGGAAGCGGCGTCTTCAAATTGACGGAGACCCAGATGAGCAGCCCCAAGACGTGAATAGCCTTTGGACCAATCAGGCTTAAGCTCCACAGTCTTCTTGGCGTCGGAAAGGGCTTCGGAAAACTTGTTCAGGGAAGCGTAAGCGGCGGATCGATTGGAGTAGAGGACGTGATTAGTAGGGGCGAGATTAATGGCCTCCGTGAAGTGGCGGATGGCCTCGTCGTAATTGCCCGCAGAGAAGGCGGCGTTGCCCTTAGCCTTGGCTTCGTCGGCCATTAATTACAAAGCAAGAAATTACAGAAAATCAACAACAGTGAATAATACTAAGTGGGAATTACAGAAAGAACGGAGAAATTTTTCTTTCACTACGGTTGAAGGGAGGAAGGAAGGAGAAGAAAAGGGGTTTGGGTTTATAAGGAAGAGAAGAGACCAGAGATTTCTAGGGACGACTTGAGAGGAGTAAAGTAATCGAAGTATAAGGTATGGTGGTGGTTCTCGAATGTTCGGAAGCCGGGCCGATTTGGAACTTGGGAACATAATCAAGTAAGTGGGCTGGTTATCTCCTAAATTCTAAGTATTCTAAGTAGCACCTTTAGACAAATTTACCCCTGCTATCAAATTAAAATACAAAAATCCTTTTATTTCTTCTCTCCAAATCATCCGAACCTCAAAAAAAAAAAAATAGTCCTTCAATCCTTTGACAGCAATAATGAAAAATTGAAAGGGTCTTGATTGATATATAAGTTCATTAGTAATCAAGTAAGTTTTTACCTTTTTAAAATTTTTCTTTTTGTAAAAATTTATGAAAAAAGGAAAAAAAAAATATTGTGCGGGAGAGTTTTTTTTTCAAAAAAAAAAAAATCAAGTTCCAATTAAAAAAAAAGCTTCCAGGTCAGGTGGGACGCCTGACGATCACGCCCAGACGCTCCTCCGAATCGTCTTGATCTATTATTATGATATAATTTTACTAGTTTCTTTGTGATTACGACAGTGTATTACCAATTCACCCATCTTTTTTGCTCACTTGTTGTAATTGGATTAATAAAAAATTTTTACGAGATCTCCATGGCTCTTCTTTCAATTAAAACGCTTCCATTTACATTATGATCTCAGTTTTGGAATTGAATATTAACCAAGTGATTAAGATATTGTGGTTTCTGGGATTAGACTTGGGCTCAATTTCTATCAAAGGATATATAAAGGGATTTTAATCACATTTAATCGGGGTTCACTGGGATGAACTTTTTATGAAAAAAAAAAATTATGATCAGATTTTGGTTGCGAGTTTAGGGTTTGTCTCCAATTGCATAAGTTATAACCCAACAACTTTAGATAGCAATAATGGAATATTTTGTTGTTTGCTATTGATAAGAAGAACATTGGCGATGAAGGTGGCGGGTGAAACTACAGTTATGAGTGAATATTGGAGTTTGAATTTTGGATGCCCTTGTTTATTTGATTGTTTTTAGCATAAAAATAATTAAAAATGGTTTGTAGAATCGTTGGGGGATATGTTAAATATCCCCAAGGGTAATTAGAAGAACTCATGGTCTTCTTCAATTTAGCACTTATTCAGAATTTTTGAAGGCTGAGAAATTTATAGATGGAAGAAATTCTTAAATAAAAAATTTGACAGTTTTTTTTTTCGTGGCAATATTATCAGAGCAATTTTTAACCTCAAAGGTAGAATGTATGATTCTTTCCACGAATACTCTTACAAAGTCAAAACTTTATTTTTCTCTCTCCCTGATTTATGGAGACTCAATTGATGTCTCATCCTTTTTCTTTGCGGCACTTTCCTCATACCCATTATGGGAGGAATAAGCTGCCAATCAAATCAGACCTGCTGAGATCATAGCCATCGACAAAGTTTTGCTCTATAGTTTTTGAAGATTTATTTTGGGTTGGCTTTTGTAAGGCCATAATCGATAAGTAAATATTTAGCTTTATTTTGATCGATTCTCATGGAAAAGTGAACTGAAGTTAGATATTAAAGTTAATCACCGGTGCAGTGTGAGATATTTGGGTTCCATTTGGACAAGAGTTTTAAAAAGACTTAGACTGTTTAGAGTTTAAAATGCGTTTGGACAAAATAATTATAGTCTTTTCTAAACATCAATTTGAAAAAAAGAAGGTTTGAAATAGACTTTTTAGATAATAGGTAGGGAGTATTTTTTTAATTTTTTGAAACAGTCTTTTTAGTTCCGTTTGCGGGTCATAATCCGGGTCGAAAGCAGATTATAAAAAAACAGGTCATGAATATCATTAATAAGACTAAAAAAAAAAAGAGGTGCGCGATGCGCGGTTCCTCTCCCTTCCCATCTTTTCCTCACTGCTCACTTTGTTGTCGGCTCCACTTTTCTTTTCAATTTTTATTTATTTTCAGTTTTAATCATATTTTTTCAAATGATTATATCTTTTAATATATTAATATTTAGACAAAGTGCTATATATCAAATTAATCTACGCGACGAGATCTTTTTATTAAGAACCATTGTTAATATTTTTGGAATTAAAAATTTCATTCAAATTTATATATCAAAATGACTGTATATATTTTTTAACTATTATATATATGAAAAGGTAAATTATTTTTTTTTATCCAAAAAGTAGTTTTGAAAAAGACTTAATCCAAATAACTTTTTCATATTTTTAATTCGTAAAAAGCTTTTGAAAAATTCTTGTCCAAATGCATTATTTTCTAAAAATTACTTTTTTCAACTTTTGTTTCAGATTTTTTTGAACAATTTTTCAAAACTCTTGTCCAAATGGAACCTTGAATTTTGATTTTTTCTACTTCATATTGATTAAGCTGGGATTGAATTTTGCAATTGAATCTTGTTTAGTTCAGGTGTGGTATCAAAAAGACTTCCCTGTTGAAAGACGGCCGACGGAGAAGCCAAATAGGCTGTGGAGGCAGGAATGAAATACTTCCTCGGTTAATCCATCTACTAATGCGGATCTGATTCGATAAAGCCAAATAGTCTCTTTTTTTGAGCGGATCAATAAGCCAAATAGTCTTATTGATCATGAATACGGTCAATTAGATTACGGTAGCAGTGGAGATTTTCTTGAGATTTCTAAGGTTTTGAGCGGTGGGAATTGGCCCTCGCATCAAATCACACATCCAACAATACTTGTAATAGAATTAGTTCTTTTTCATCTGTCACAAATGTCTCATGTAAGCCAGCCACATACGAATCCGAGTACTACATATTCTCCAACTTCTTGGCATGCCAAAACGAGGCTAAGTTGTTATTAAACTTGAAATAGGGCAGCTATGTGTGGTCGGAGAAGAAATAGGGTGGTAATTGAAAAGCAAGATTAGCTAGAGAGATCATGGAGAGAGAAAAATAAAGTTTTGACTTTATAAGGGCATTTGTGGAAAGAAATGTAAATTTTGCCCTGGAAGCTAAACATTACCCTGGCAATATCACTATTATATTTTTTTTAATTGAAGCAGCCGAACATACACAATCCGAATGGACCAGGCCCAACTGCTATATCTGGGCCAACCAACCTACAATGTCGATTGGAGACTTATTCACCTAATACAATACCGACACGGAAGAGGTAATATTTTGCCTTCAAATAGCAATCAATATACCACAACCAAGGTACACAATCTTATGCACAACTTACTTATTCCTTGCTTTCAAAAATTCCCCTTTTTGACTTAATCTTTGGAGTGTCTAGTGAATGCGTCGTTGACAATCCCAAAAGAAATTTATAAAAACTTACTTAAAACTATTAGCTAGTGGTAAGTAGGGTCGTTCCACAGAGACGACAGTTAACCGCTTAAAATCTGATTTTTGTGCAAGACAAGGGAAAAACAAGCTAAACAGATTTGTCACTTGGGAGAGTGAGAATAGTCACTCGATAGAGTGAAGAGCAGAAGGGTCAATCACCTTCCTATCTTTATGTTCCAGTTTTGATTCATGTAATCTTGTTTGTGTATGATTTATTATTTGATCAGGCACATATATTCTTTATAATTCCTCTCATACAGAATAAAGAGTCTTAGATTAACAAAATTACCTATCTCTTAGTCAGTGTAATTCGTTATCTAAGACATTCAGTTCTTAAGCCCATGCACCTAACTCTCGTTGATGATTGAAACCAAAGGGTAGATTTTCTCATTTTTCATAGACTAGATTAGCAATTCTAAAGTTATATTCCCCCTCTCAGATCTTCATAACTGTGCATGCACAATCGATTAAGTAACCATCTAGACACAATGCCTCATCTTAGGAAACTGAATCAAAACCTTCATATAAAGATAATAGGGATTGAACCCTTAACTGAGTTTAGCTACTATGTTTATTGAGCTAAACATGAGAGTAACAAAGTACAAAAGATAAGGCATGAATAAGATCAAAAATTTAGAGGATAGAAGGGAAAAGAGGTAGCAGGGCAGATTCTGTCTGCTCACTTTGGCGAGTGGTTGTCGCCACTTGACAGAGTGACAATCTGCACTCTTAGCTCCTACTACTACCCTGTTTCTACCCAACTAACTTAACTAAACTAAACTGTTTTGGACTGATTCTAACTACCCAATCTGTAATTTTCCTAATTGCTATTGGCTGACTATTTATAGAGATTTGGAGAGGCTTGGATTGGTGGAGTTCCGGCCTTCTTCCTTGCAGCAGATTGGTGGAGGCAGCAACTTGCAGTAGCTTGAAGGAGTTGTTTATTCAGCAGGGCAAGTTGCTGTCTTCTCTTTGGCAGCTCCATCTTTCGTTAGCTACAATTAGCCACCTCTACTCATCATTGTTTCTTCTCTTTAGTCTTCTTCTCCGGCGCATCCTCACCATTTTCAGCCACAAATCTCCATTTCTACATTCTTTGATCCTCAGCAGCACAACTAGCAGCAGCAGCAAGCAACAGCATCAGCAGCATACTTCCTTCCATTATTGCCTTTCGGCCCCCAATTCAGCCTCAGTCTTTTGTCCTTTTTCTTCCTTATTTCCTGGGAACACTTGCAACACCATTGCTCACCTGTTTGCATCACCCAATCCATCAGTTTAGCAGCAGCAGTCACAGCACGTAAGTAGCAGAGTTGCAGCTGCTGTTTCCACATATTCTCCCTCTTTCTCTTCTTCAACTTGCAGCAGCAACAACTTGCAGTGATGGCGAAGCAACTCCTTCCTTGGGTACCAAGACTTCAGCTTGTGGCTCTTCTTGATTAACAGCAGCAACAGCTACTGTAGCAGCAACTAGACAGCAGAGTGGCTGCTATTCTTCTTCCTCAATTGAGTGTGTTGCTGCAGAGTTCTTCCACTTGTGATCATCTGCCATCAATCCTCTTCATTCGGCTCAGATTTCTCCACTTGCTTCAGCTCTGATCGATCCTCCAGCAACTGATTTACAGCAGCTTCCAATTTGGTCCTTTTTGATGCCGTTTTGTGCAATTTGACCCAATTTATACTGATATTCCACTTTGGTCCTCTGATCATCCTAAAATAAAAATCAACCCAAAAGTAAACTAATTCTATCTAATTGACGCTGAATTATAAGTAAAACTAAGTAGAAAATGTCTGCTAAAAGGGTATATATATTTTAGTGTTATAAGTGTCTACCCTTGGTAAACCCCGAA